ATAGAATTTGACAGGTTGCCTGTCATCACATAAAAAACAGTATCAACCAACCACACACATAGTACTCTCTATCTATCTCTCTCTCTCTCTCTCTCTCTCTCTCTCTCTCTCTCTCTCTCTCTCTCTCTCAATGACTCCTTCTACCTTCGCATGAAGGGCGCCCAGTGAGCTAGGATATTTTGCCAGTGGCAGCCAGGTGAAATCAATGTGCCACTCAGTTGGCTTGGTTTCATTTGTTTCGCATGGATTTACCACGCTTTGTTTGTGTGCATAAAAGCCCAAGTGAATGTGACATCGAAAATGGAGTTATCTTTCTCACTTATCAAAATCTATACAACTTTGAAAAGTTTTCATTACTGTTCACTATAGCTAACGCTCTAGCAAGACATTTTGCAATATAAACTGTTTTTTTTTTGTTTGCAACTCACTGTGTCCTGGTCTTTTTGCAGCGAGAGTATATATTCGGTTGCCATAAAAAGTCTGTTGAAAGATGATGATTCTTATGAATGTAGTAATATTTTGTAGCAAACAACCGTTGTGCAAAATACCAAAATAGAAAAAAAACAGCCAAGCTTCCTTTTGTTTCTCCGCATTTGCGATAATTAAAATTGAATACGTGAATGTTTCACCCATAGTGTGGGTGAGATGAGAAATTTTGATGAGATGGCGTCATTGTATCGGGATTTTGATATGGTAGCTTATAGAAAAAGAGTCAAATTGTAAATGAAATGTGCCCTTTTTGCACGCTGCAAAAAACCCCCTTCCCAGAATTCGAATGGTGGAAGGAAAAGGAAACTAACGGGCAAAGGGGCAATAAACGGAATGAAAAGCGCCTCAATTCACGTTGATAAGATAAGCAATAATCATAATTGGAAGAGATTTTGCTCAACTTTTGACGTTTCCTCCATCCCAACCCTCTCTCTATCTCCATCTCTTACTCGTGAGTGTGCTTGTGGCCGTGTATACGCATCAAGTCTTCTCAGTGGCTTCATCGTTTGTGTGCGCTTTTTTTGTCTTTACTTCTTCATACTTTACCTTTTATAAGCCAAAAGATAAGGAAGATACATCATTTTATATTTCTTTGGAGGCGGTTTTTTCGCTGAACACTCATTCACTTTGGCTCATTCGGTGAAATCTCGGCTAAAGAAAAGTTTTCTGCTCGAAAAACACCGAACTCTCGTTTATCCACACATAGAAAAAAGGGAGAAATCGCTTAAATATTGATTTTTCTTTGGTAAAACGAGTTGAAAGGCATCAAAGATCAGCGTTTTTTGTGGATGTTGAGTGTATGTATGTGTGTGTGTGGGACCGTGGATTCTTGTGCCGTACAAAGAAAATCGTTTAACGAAGACGATAGTTTAACGCTTTATTGGCTTTTCCGAACTTACAACCTTGGTTGCTTGGTGCCTTTAAGAAGAAGAGGAAGAAGTTCAACAAAAACCTGCACAATGAACGCAATAAATGTTACGCTTGACTTTGTTCAACTTTTGGTTGATTTTCATGCCATTTCCGTGAACCAAGTGAACGATTAATATTCATTGACGAACCCAAGTGCAGAAAAAGAGCGAACGTATCACAAAGGCCAATGAATCAAGTAATAAAGCGCAGCAACATTTTCTGTCATTTACAAAGTAAATTGGATCGTTTGTGCATTTCATTGTATGATATTGCATTAATTTTGACGACCAAATTGTCAACAAGCTACTCGAAAGGGCAAATTTACGACTGACAGCAAACTGTTTAGAGTGAGGTAATCGAACGTCAAAATTCAATGCCTGGATATATATTGACTAAGCCAAATATTGTGTGATTCAATGTCAGTTGGCCTAAAAGCTTATTCTATCAATAAAAGCGAATTTTGATAAACTTGACTAACGCCATTCACACACAGTACATATTCAATCATCGTTCGACCGCCAAAACTATATGCGGCAGCCGTTCACAAACTATAAATCTTAATTCAAACTCATAAATATTAATCGTATTTGCACTAAAACTTATCTGCTTCAACGATTTATGATTAAATAATACCGATGACAGAGAAGCGAATTTTCGGCTCAACAGCAATGTATTCGCTTGGTCTTGCTCACTCCCTCATTCTCTCGCTCGTTCTCGCTCTTGCCCATTTGCTCCGCATCCGACGGGTGGAAGCGACAGTTCGAACTTCTGGCCCTCTATCGACTTAATTTTGAAGCATTCTGTCATATTCAATACACGACACTTGACAGCCATTGACAGTTAATGTTGTACACATTGTTTACAAAACAAGATAGCAACTAGTGAAAATTAACTGATTTTCAGGACTGAAATCAATGAGTTATAAAAGGGGCAGCAAATTTCAAATGTATTCAGATTTATTTTAAATGACTTATTTAAACGTAAAAATCGCATAGCGGTCACCAAATCGAATATAATAGAAATTATAGCCAAACAAATGAAAGAACGTATTACTCAAAAAAAAGCCGATGTTAGTTCTCAAAAACAGTTGTAGAGGGCCAGAATGATGAACATACATTTCTATAGTTTCAGTACAGAAATACGGAATTGCTTCCACCCGTCGTCCGCATCTGTGTATATGCTCCAATTATAATTCGTTGACTGAATTTGCCGATGCGACGTTTCAACATGAAATGCTTACACACACACACACACACACACACACACACACACACACACACATCACAAATACATGATCCAAAGTTTTCGGCATGCCGATAACATCAATTGCGAATTAATATTTGCATCGATTTCCATGCGAAGCTGTCTCTATCTCTCACTCTCTCGTTCACACTCACGATACATAATATTTATGGAAATGAGAATTTCGCATAAACTGTTTGGGTGTACGAGCAATCAATTCGACAGCAACGGCAACCGATAGCAAGGCGTTTCAGGAATTGGAGCAAGGAGCACACACACACACACACACACACACACACACCCAAACAAACACGGAGAGAGGAAGAGAGTAAGAAAAAAACAAATATGCAATAAAATGGATAAGTTTCAAATAGGAATTGATGTCGATAATTCGATACATTTTGTGCGCTGGTAAGTAATAAGGCTTCGGCAATATCTATATCCAGCGCAGAATATCCTATAAAAAAAAGTGTATGTCGGTATGAGTGGGGCGCTGCTTCATTCGCTTCAGTCATCGTTAAAATATCGTTTCTAAGCCGTCTGCTATTTGTCGCTCCATTCGCATTTCATCGGCAATATTTTCGAGCCATTTGACGTGGACTCGTTGAAAATTCGGATTCATGTATATATAATACATCGCAATGTTGCGTATACTTGAAGTGTTTTGTGTTTAGGCGGGGAAACTACCCTCACACTCTCTCTCTCTCTCTCGTTCGAAAACAACTCGTTTTCATCAGCTTCGCTTTTTTCATTCTTTCGCTTGGATGGGAAATACACTTGTGTTTCGGCGTGTACTATTCAGAGCGGAAAAAAAACAGCAGCCGCCAAATCACTTTTTGAAATCTCAAAATGTACTTCATTCAGAGTTCGCAAGATTCGCTGTCCCTTTCCATCCACTTCAAGAAGAAGGGAAAAAACCATACATTTGTGTGCTAATGCGATGCCGTCATTTTCAACTCTCTCAAAGTTGAAATCTGTTTTTCGCCTTTACCAAAAGCAATCGAGAATTTTTTCTGTTGCTTCACTTGTGCCATCGTTTTGTTTTCGGCCCTGAAGTTTTTGGCGATGGTAAAAGTAGATTTCCACATTTTGGTGGGTGCGTAGGAATATCTTAACGGAGGCAACGAATGAGTATTTTCACTTCATTCACAATAAAATGACTTTTTTATTAACCCAATCCATCGAATGCGAGCAGCTATCGCATGCGGCAAATTCCACAAAATAGACAACCGTCTTCGAAGTTCCGAGGGTTGTGCGACGAAGAAGAATGCCCATTTGAGTGCACAAGTAAATTTTTTGGAAAAACAATTTTAAACGATACTTCCAGTTGAATGTTCGATTGACATTGTTTTGCAGTGACGACGCGGCAAGCGACCCATCGACTGAGCATAAGTACAGCATACAATGTCGCACAGCCTTAGTAATTGCACTGAATTTCGAAGGAGACAAGGGCAATGACAATTATTATCATTTACTTTTCTGAGAAAGGAAAAAAAGACAGCAGCGTCAAATGTACTGTCGGGTGGAAAGTTGCACACGGATGCCGAAAGTATTTTTCGGTAGTGACTGTTCTGTTCACTTCGCACGGAATACAAGTGCACTGAAAACAAACGACGAACAAGAAACTTTCCTATATAATTAAAATTTAATGGAGCTGCTTTGCCATTTTCAGTATATACAGCCGCACTATGGATCATGAAAATATTTCGAACAATGGCGATTGTGTGGCGTTTTGGTAGGGAAGGAGAAATGAAAATTGTCGCGCTTTTAAATCAAATTTATTATTTAATTGGCTTTTGTTATTTTAACTAACTCATTAATGGCTGTTGAATCAACATTTTCGAATGCTATGATTAGATCAGTCGACGAGCTTACGTTATTATTTAATCGCATTTCAATGGCACAACAGTCAACGTTAAGCGAATCATCGTCACCGAGACGTCGACGTGGACGACAAATAGCTTTGTTGAATCAATTTTCGATAAATCCAAATGGCAATATTCTCGAAAACCATCAACACTGTAGTCGAAGTTTGTCAATTCCATTTCGTCTCACAAAATGATTCATTTTCGAGGTCACCGTGCATTTAATCGGTGAGCTGAGTATATACAAAGTGGAAGCATTTGGAAGTTATTCCAATAGTTTTACAAGTAAAACAATCAAAAACTCATTTGAATAGCTCTCATTTGAATAGTTTGTCGTTATTTTCGGAAAATTTCCGATTCGCACAGCAAACTTTGGCACACTGAAATTTCGGGCCAAGTTTTGTTTGAAAGAGCACACACCCCGAAAGATGATTTACATTTCATTAACACACAAACTTTCTAATGCTTAAAGAAAATGCTCCATATTATGCTTACCATTTCAAGTGTGTTGGTTGAAGTGGCATCCGCTGTGTTGATTGCTTCCTTGACACACAGGATTATCGCAGGATTCGTAACGCTCGTTGATTATCCGGATCTTTTGCATACACTTGGGAAAATTTATCGGAGATTTGAGTCGCGTTCCCGAACGTTCAGTGTGTCTGTGGCGATAATCGGAAAATGTAATCTCTTATTTTCCTTTTCTTTTTCGTTTTGGACCGTTGCACGCAGAACAAACAGCCGAAGAAGGGAAAAAAAACGACAACCACAAACAAGATGTTCAAAAACAAAAATCCGAATTCAATTTGGAACTATGTCCGTCGTTCTAATGAACATTCAAACGCGCACCTTCTCTCAATGCACCACTTCAAGCACATTCATTTCAACTTTCATGAGTTTTTATTTTTTTCAATTTATTTTAACTTTTTTTTTATATTTCTCCGTTGAGGGTTTTTCTCGTTACTTCAACACGATTCATACGAAACACACGCACACTTCAAACGATATAATATTTTTATTATTTTTTCTTTCTTTTTTTCCTAATTTTATTTCAGCAATCAAAACGCAACGCGCGATAAAAAAAAAGCAACAAAAATATCATACATAAACAAGGTAAATGCCACACCACTTGAGATTTGGATTTTGAAAACCGTGTGTTTGCCTTTTTCTTTTCGCTTTCCAGTTAAACGTTCGCAATCCAAACACACCATAAATATACACCAACACAAGCACAAAAATGTTCGTCTGGCTGCGTTTTACTTATTCACTTCAATTTCATGTTGGTTCATCAAATCTATTTTCATTAATATCCAAATGGAATGTCTTGAACTCTCATTCATTTGGGATGATGATGATGATGATGATGTGGTGTTTGGGATTCGATTGGCTCAGGCTGTCAAAAAGTTCGCGCTACGATGTCGTCGTCGGCCCAACTCTTGCTTTCTGTTTGCCGTGCTGCGTTGCGTCTCTTTCGGTTGTGCGTATTATTAATTTTTAATTGCAACCATAAATAAGGTAATTGAATGTATTTCTTGATAGAAGTTCATTAGCACCCAAAATGCTGTTTATCTAAATGGAAAGGGAATAAGTCAGAGAGGAGAAAAAAGAAAATAATAATATTTATTAAAGGCGTTAAAGAGAACCCAATGTTATGTGACAGAGTAGAGGGAGAGAAAGAGAAAAAACAACAAAGTCGCCTTAATAAGCACGCATTACGCAGGAAATGAACCATTCCAATGAAATGCTATTACTGTTATTATTGTTGAAGCTTTTTTTTTCACTGTTGTCGTTTTACTGTTTGTTTCGTGTTGTTGCTTTGGTTCGCATGTACTAGCTATTTAATGTTTTCGCTAATGTATGCTCGTTGAGATGGGCACATAAAAGACACAGGAAAAAAACACCAAACCAAACCAAACCAAAAGGAAAAACAGAGAGAGAGAAAAAAATAGAACGTCAATTCGAAACCACATCAAACGCGGAGCACAATTGTCAAGGGTAGTAGTGGGAGAGTCAAAGCACGACACACGCGTGCACCCAGCAATGAAATGTTGAAATTTTATTGTTTTGAAATGCGTTGCCGGTGCGAGTACTCACTCAAATGTACAAACATCCAATAGAGAGGGCCCCTCTTTGGCCCGTAAAATCAACGACGACGACGACAACGATATTCCACAGGGAAATTCTAATTTCAACGTGTGTTCTTGATGCTGTTGTTGTTGTTGTTTTCTTTCTTTCGCTATCAATATATTTATAAGCGATGGCATCGTGCGGTCGACTAACAAAAAAAAAAGCCCAAAAAAATCGACTCGGTGAAAGCAATAAGGTGGAGTTGTCGAGCTCAGCTCACACAACAATATTCTCACACACAATATTTGATTACAAATAAATACGAATTTATATGGTTTACATTGCGTTTCATTTGGTCTCCGTGCGTTTGGTTAGTTTGTTTGATTTTGGATCGTTTTTCATTTTACTTGTTCCGCTTGCCACTTACGAGTAGCTATCATTCAAGAGCCGACACGAGTCGAGTGCGCACGGCCGCGCGCGTTCGAAATAAATGAGGAGCTCAATTTAATTCTTTCAATGCATTTAGGATCCGTTAATGTCTTTAAATATAATAAATTAAATGTGAAGCGACCATACTGCTGTCGATAGCCCTCTATCTCTTTCGTTCGTTCATTTCGGTATGCAGGCTTTGTGAGCGCGCAATGTGGCGAATGAGTGGCATGTGCATTGGGGCTGATATTTATTTAGACGTTTATTGAAATGACTTTGTGTGTACACGCGAATTGTTGAGGCAACATAAACATAAATTCACAGAATCAACCGTACAAATGTTGTATTCCGACTGTTCCCAGTCGAACATATTCAATTTCGATGGTGCTGAGTATCGTGCCCAAAGCATCGTTGAAGTTTATTAAGTGATATTGTGAGCAAGTGAATGAGAGAAGAAGCATATCAGAGCCAAAGTGATACATTTGCAATTTCACTTGAAAATGTGAAAACTCATTCGGCCAAGTGGAATTTTCATCCAAACAAACCGACGACCGACGATTGCGATGGATGGAGGGAAACGGCATTATGAATTCACAACTCCAATTCTAATCCCATTTATTTGCCCGTCGAAATTACAAACGCCGTTTGCTCTTATCGCATACTTTTCGACTGGCTGGAAAATTAAAGTGTTGAATGGGATCGAGAGACGAAGACGAAGACGATTTTTCCGAATTTTCCACACACATAAAACATAAGTTTTTGGTAGGCTATCTATTCTTTAAAAACCGTCTTCAACCATGATAAAAAAAACGGCAACAACAATGAAATCAAGAATGCCGACCACCAATTCGGCTATATTTTGCCCATACGCGTTTTAACTACATAATTGAATTGTTTCAGAGTTTCCTTTCTAACATTTCAATCAGATGCCGGCATTGCCCGGGGCAAATCGAATGCGCTCAAACATAAAACCGAGGAAAGAATACACAAAAAAAATGATCGATCGATTTTATTGGACTAATTTTCATTCCGTTTGAGTGAGAGACTTTGTGTCTCGGTCTGTTCGGTGTGTGTTTGTGTGTCGATTGTATGGTTATTTTTTCCCTGTCGTGTTCGTTCTGGTGTTGTTGTTTTTTCGGTGGCGCGACCGGATAAACGGTCGGCCCTCCGTGATAGGGCTAGACACAAAATACACACAAATCCAATATGTTTTATTGGCACTTATTTTCCACAAAAATCGATATAATTAAATTCTTTGGCTTTGGTTTTCGGTTAAACACAGCACGCTTCGAAGTGTTTTCTTTTTCCATCGCCATTCCAATGGATTCCATTGTAAAATTGGTTGGTGTGGCTACTTCAATTCAAACGTCTACTTCAATTCAACCATGAAACATTCTTTTTTTCCGCAGTATGATACAGTCAGACGAACAACGATGACGATGACGTCGGTAGAATGGCAGCAGCACAACAATGAAACTGAAACGAGTGAATCGTGCTTTCGTGTGACTGTTGGCTGTTCGATTACGTTTCCCATATACATAGAATATATCTGGTTGAAGACGAAAACTAACAACAAATAAAAAGAAACACGTTGCAAAGCGTATCAATTGATTGAATCAAAACGTATTAGATGTTGAGAACGAAGACGAAGCACACAAAGAAAGTGAACACACATCTACACAAAAACCGGAATTTTGAATGTCAATCAGACGAAAGCAACGAAGACAGGCCACAGCACGGTATCAATGCGATATAATGTTCACGTTTCAACGCGTCGACTTGAAGCGAAATTCTTTCACCATGTGAAATAATTTTCCCCTTCAAACTGCATAATTTTCATTTCATCGTATATTTCCTTTGATGTACCTTGCTATTTTCAACGCGCTTCAGCACGAAGAACGCTTTGGCATATTGATTTCACTGTGTGTTTTTCTCTTCGCTTTTCAAACACAGAAAGAGAGACACACACACACACACACACTACCCACATTTATTTTTATGTGCTTATTATGCCAGTTTTCCGGCTGAAAAATCATCAGAGGATTCTTCGTTTTTCTGCTTTTGCATAGAAACCGGAGCGCCTCCGGATCCTTAACTCAATTGCATATGCTCACACGCAATCTTATTAACACAAATATTATTGTCAGTTTTATCACACATATCCCGTAATAATCGAATTGTTATAATTTTGTTTTCATCGTGTCATTTTCGGGCGTTGAGAATTCGTGAGCACTGGGCATGAACTGGATCCAACCGAAGCGAATCGAAGGAGAAAAAAGACAGACCGACACAAAATGGAACAGTGACGATGAGAAGCAACCGAAACGATTTTCGGTACACTTATTCACACGCCCGCACCAACAAAAAAATACACACATCAAATAAAATCGGCTGCTGAATTCAGAAGACGACAAGACACACACATGCACACACCAAATCGTTGATTTTTTTTCTTTTAGTTTGTCATATCTCGATAGATTGTTTGGCACTTTGTTTGGCAAGTTTGGTTGTTATTCTGCCTCTGATACCGTTATGCTTGATTGATATTTTCATTTTGCCATCGCCGCGTTCAATGCGTTGAATTCATTTTTATTTCATCGTGTGCTGTCTACTTTTGTGTCGCTTCGATGGCATGGCATTTGGTGGTTTTTGTGTTTGTGAAATTGACGGACGACGGTGACATGCACATCAATTTACTATTATAACCGTTCCGAATAGGCCATGTGTTTTCGGTTGATGCAATGAAAGAGAAAGAGAGAGAGACAGGCAAAAAAACGCTTTGCTGCGTTGAATGTGTGAAATCAGATGAACCAAGATGAAAATTGAAATTACAAAAATCCTCCTGGCTCACATTTTCATTTGCACCCAACCAAAACTGTGTTGCTCTTTCGTCGCCCGTCCCTTTGGACTTTGTCTCTATTTGAGGGAATGTTTGATGTGTGCACAGCGACAACAAATCTAGATCTCGACTTGGTGTGATTTAACACTGTGGCTCTAGCACTGGCTTGAACACAGACGAAACAGACACACACGCACACAGGCACCGAGATTATCAGTCCGATTTCGTTGTGAGAACAGCAAATTTTCATGTTTTGTTTTGCTATTTATTCGCCTGCTGCGGACAGCGGGTTATAAACCAGCCGATCGATAGATGTGGAAAATTCACAATTTCATTTTTTGTTGTGTGTGTGTCTGTTTTTGTGTTTCATGTGATTTTTGCTGGGTAACGCTTTGCTTACGTGCATTTTTCTCGTTTTTGTATACACAACGGTGGAAATGAGCATCGTTCTGAAACCCTTTTTTAAGTCAAACCGTGCAAAATGCTTAGCCAAACGAAGAAGAAAAAAAAGCGAACGAACCGATGAGAACCAAAACGGAAAATCACATGGAAAATATTTCATGCGAAAAATGAAGCACAATTCGAGTAATGTTCAGGTATCGAGAGAATGAATATGGATTTTTGCGAATGCGGTTCGGTATCAGTTAGAAATGTGAAGCAACAAAGCGAATCCGTATTTTTGTATCCGCTAAAACATTTCACACAATACACTCAATTGCAGGCATTGCAAACGAATGAGAACATCACCGAAAAAAAAAACATAATTTGTAGACTTGGTTTTTATTCCATACCACTACGAACCAAATGTGAAAAATCGAGAGAAAAAAATATCGCGAATTTCACAGTAACACGAAGCAAACATGCTTTTGATTTGATAAAAGAATTTTCGCCATGCTTCATTGAACATTTTTAACAAAATCAGTATCATTGGAAAATTCATTCAATTTGTTTCGAAAAATGCACAGAACTCACTTTCAATTCGTGTTTTCATTTATGTTTCTAATTGCAATCACTACGGAATTCACTGTTTTTAAGCCGAAAATTATTTTTCACTATTTTTTTCATTAATTGACAGTTGATTATTGTTTCATTTTTACCACTGTTGCATATTTTTCACTTTTTTTTTATTTGTTTGTTCTCATCGGCAATTTTCGTTTGAAATTCACATTGCTCTTTATCTCTAATGTTATTCTTCACTTCACTCGATGCAAATTGATTTCGTTTTTCAACTTTTCTTTGCTACGTCACTTATGTTCTGTTCGATTCTTTTGCTCCTGTTCAAGTTTATTATCGAAGGATAGAGATAGTTCCATGTAGTTTTGGAATGCCGCGCGCGTGATAACTCGTTTTGTTGTTGATTCTTTCTTTTTCTTCAGTTCCTCACATAATAGCTGTGATATGAAAATGACCAAGCGAACTGTAACATAACCAATCGTTTTGAGTACTTGGTACAAACTGAATGCTTCGTCAATCGAGTGTCGTGCGGCAACCTTCTCCTCTACCTATCGCTTCGTTTGTTGCCTTCTTTCCGTGTGTTTGCTTCATTCGATTTCGTTTTCACAGCGATAACATGAGTGAGAATATCTTTGCTGTGTGTTGTCACGCACTGGAAACAAGCAGCGAAACCAACCGAAAATATTATTCCACTCACTCGGCGAGAGCCACGGTGTTTTTATGCATGAGATGAATTCAACGTCTGTTGTTTCCACTGTGGATTGGTGCGCCAGCGCTGCATGAATTCCACTCAATGGAAGTGGTTAACCCATGAATTTGACTCGTTCCGTGCACGTTCTCCTCATTGTGACAACGGTCTTATTGGAATCGCTTCAGCTGAGTCATTTAAAGTGCTTCGGCATTTCGTGCGGCCCACAATCATACGGCAAACATTGTGCCTGCGTTATAAATCCCAGACGTCTCATACATCGGAATGCATCACATTCGAATTGGAATTGGAATATTTTGTGACAGATTGCACAGTTCCAGGGGAATTGAGTGTAAATCGGACGCTGTGCCGAAACAAATGAAACAAAACAGAAATTCGAATTTATTTCGAGAGTGAATATGAAAAGCATATGTTGCATTTGACTGTGTATGGATAAAAACGAGTTTATTCACATTTCAGGCCGAAAAACTGGAAGAGATGCACGGCTATATAGCGGCTGGCATTCGAATTGGATTTCTAATCTTGCCGGATTTTTTTTTCTTCTAATCAAATGCATGAATATTTGATAAGAGGTGAAGCCAAGGAAAAAATTCAATGGCAAAATTTGGTCATATATTGAGGCTGGCCATTGGTGGAAAGGTGAATGAAAGAAGAGAAGAAAAAAAAAACTGAGAAGTGATTCATTGGAACACACAAAAGATTCTTTGATTTAGGTAGAAAAGTTTACTTGGCCCAGACCAATTGGAGTGAAACGACACAGAAACAAAGTTTAATGCTCGAACCTGGCACTGCTACCGTAATTAAAGCCGTACTCTTTTGTGTAGCATGTGCGTTTTTACGACTCTTTTTACCGATTTTTCATGATTTGTTTCCGTTTTTTTTCTTCTCCTCTCTCGGCTGTTCTATCTTCTACCCGTAAAAAAGACCGAAAGTGAAGAAGGCGATTTATCTTCTTTTTTTTCTTCGCGACCGCCATGCGACATTCACTCGCAATGTAAAACGAAACTGCAGTAGTTGAAAAATAATCGGGAACGTAAATATTATTGGTGCTTGTTCAGCGCCACCCTCGAGATGTACACATAATAATTTTACGAGCGAGAAAATTAAATTTCACTATTTATCAATTTCAAATAACGGTGAGAAAATACGATGCGCGCACGGCAAGGCAACACAATGGAAAAGGAGAGCGAAAAACCGAAAACAACCGACAAAAATACACACGGCACATGAATCGTTCAATCGCTATTCGAAATCCGATATTTTATTTTGTGATTTAGCTTCCGCTTCGATGTTGTTTGACTGACTATATCTCATTTTGTGGCTGTTTGCATGTTTCACTCGTCGATCGTTGCCGTTACCATTTTTATTGCTTTTGCCGTTGTTACGATATATGAAAATAATAGCCCATTAAAAGTGTGTTTGTTTTTGAATATATCACACGATACACCTCTTTCGATGGCATTTTCTTTTGAGGTTAAGAAATTATGTGGAGTGAAGCGTGTGTCGAACTTCGTCATCGTTAAAGTCATTGACGATTGCGACGAAGACGATGGTGGCAAAAGCAGGCAAATACTACAGTTCCCAAAGGGCTAAATACTAGTAATATTAGTACTACAGCCGGCGTGTGCTCTCTTCCATTGCCCAAACGATTTTTCCGATCAATTAAAATTAGTATTTTATGACTGTTGAGCATCATTTGAGGTCATAAAAGTTAACATTATAGTTGTAAAATTGATCGATTTAATACGCACAATATAATTCAGCGTATAATATTCAAATTTGCTGTGCACTAGTTAAGCAGGAGATTGTTGTTGGCATGAGAGTGGTATTGCGCGTTGCAAAGAAGGGCGACGAATATTTTATGAACGCCGTTTAGTTGTGGGCTACCGGGATTTTAATGGCAACTTTATTGAGCCGCGACGAACATTTTAATTATAGTTCAAGGAATTTCGAGATTTATATTTCTACCAACAACGAACGAATTTTCAATCGCACATTAATTTTTAATGCAATAGAATTTTTTTTTAGGTTAAATATCCGAGTTTATGGGTTTTTCGGTATTTTATGACTTTGACGACACACGAGTGAAATATTAAAGCTGACTTTTTTACAACTGTTCGCATGCTGTGTGTGTATATATGTGGCATTAATCGACGGGGAAGCGTCGATCTGGATTAAACTAAATTTTTAGTTGAAAACGGAAGCACGGAAATTTGGTGGCAACGACAACAACAACAGGAGAGAAAAAACTCGGTACAGTAAAATTCAACTAAATCAATTTTCCAAAGCAGGACAGCCACTCAAAACTAAAACTGGTGAAAAGTGCAAGCACAACACAAATGCCATCATGACGAGCGAGACTGTCGTCACGTTTGGAATATTCACATCCGCAGACAAATAATTTTCGCAGAACAAGGGTAAGTGAGGAAGCCGAACTATCTCTCTCTCTCTCTCTCTCTCTCTCTCTCTCTCTCTCTCTCTCTCTCTCTTTCTCTCTGGCTGTCATGAATTTTTTACCCTTCCACAAACTTTTACCTGGCTTCGAATGCTGTGCCACACAGAGGAAAAGGGAGAGAAAGAGACACATATGGAGCGAGAGCAAAAAATGTCACGATTACTGCGAAGAGCAAGTTTGCAATTAGACGTGTTTGCGTTTCAACTAAATTTCATTTGGTCAAAAACTTCAAAAACTAAACCAGAACATTCTGTCTGAGTTGTGAATTCTGGTTTAGATGGCAAAATTGTTGTTGACTAACCGCTTGGTTTTTAGACACGTGGCCCGTTGTCTCACCATTTACCTCTCTGCCTCTGTGCTTCTCTCTCTCTCTCCCCTTCTTTCTGGTGATGTTCTTTTGTCCGATGGTGTCGCCAGCAGATCTAAGCTGCAAAATTAGCCGCACACACACACACACACACATATAACATACATACTCAGAAGTTTTCCATTTGAATTTTGTGCGGTGTACGAGAATAGTAGTGGGTGTAAGAAAATCGGTGAGCATCCGTTGGAATCATGCAAATTTCACACATTTCGAGCTTGTATTGTGAGGAGTTTTTCGCAAATTTGCTTGAAAATGTCTGTTGATCGTGGCAACACTAACACACGGAAAGATTCAATTTCCCAACGACACCAACAACAACAAAAACGGAGAAAAAAACTTCAATAAATACAAAGTAAAGTGTTGGGCTGGATTTTTACACATTATAATTCATTTGTCGTGGTTGTCGGTGGCTGAATGAAAAATGTGTGGCGGTGTCGGTGTGTATGTATTTGTGAATTGTTGTTGAGTTTGGCATCATGCTTGAGCTGCGATGCATCCATTTTTCATAGCATTAACAATGAACCGGATGCAAAGCACTGACTCTATATTACAATGTTGGAAATTTTGTGTTTTTTGGTCGTTGCCGTCGTTGCTGTTTGCTGCCGTTTTAGCTGGCGCGTATTGAAATTCTAATGATTGAGATATTTAATGCATGCAGGCAATTTTTGGTTGGCAAACCATTTTTGCTTTGTTTGCGAAAAACGAAAATGTGTAATTAAATTTGGTCGAAAAGTTATATAGTTTTATACGAATATAGTTTTGCAAATGTAGTAGGGAATTACTGAAGCGACACAAGCTTTTTCCAAATGGAACGCATACTGTACGTGTGTATGTGTACACACTTCTAGTTTATATTGGCCCGAGGGTGTTGGGCAGTTCGACTAAAATAATTCTATTGATGCTTATGCATGAAAATGATGATGCCATACAAAAATGATATATATACGTATATGAAAGGGAAAAATGAAATTAAATTAAACTACTCGGGTGTTAGCGACATAGTCGGCAGGCCGAATGTAAGTGTGAGTGGTGTATGCATTATCCGAGAAAATGTTGTTACCGTCGCAATAAAGGTAGCATTGCGTATGAGCATTGTTGTAGTTGAAATGAAAATTTTATTGTGCAAATATAACGAAATTGCTCTTGTCGAGGAACCAGAGCGGAGGAGAGTGAGCATGGGGCTGAGCTCGAAGAAGAAGAAGACGAAAAAAAAAATATCTAAATGGAATAGTCAAATGCTTTTTGACAGTAACGACCATCAAAAATGAAAAATTCTCTTTATTATATTTGAGTGTAAACCGTATGCGTGATGGTTCTTAATGCGTTCCATACGCATAAAGTGCCTGAGAGACGTAATGTATTTTGGCTTTAGCCGTGCTATGCTGAGAATCGTGTGTATTAGCGCGCTGTGTGTGTGTGTGTGTGATGAGTGTGGGCATAAAAAGGTGTGTGCGCCTTTCGTCCATAGGGATTTGGCGATAATTTCGTAGATTCTTCTACCACTCATGACAACTCGCATTTACTGAGAACGAAAACGGGCTGAGCAGAAAACATTAATCGTCGCTTGAAATAGGATTCTTGTGTTAGATGTGACCAAGTCCAAAAACTAATATAGAATATTATTTTATGAATATTAATTAGGAGCAAAGGATTTGAAAAGTGAAATATTCTGACCGTATATAATTTGGAGAGGCCATTTCCATGTATGTTCTGACTGGTAAAATCGTTGTGCATTAGAGATAGCAAAATAATGGAGCGAAAAATGATAAAGCCAATGATAAAATAAACAGCAAACACTGACCGAAAACTAAATACCTTCGACGAAATATTTACTAGCGCGATAACTGTGTAAATTTGCTGTATGAAAGTGCCCAACCCAGTGTAGCTTATTATTTTTTTTTCGTTCGTTCGTTCGTTCGACGATGGTTCGTCGACTACATGCATACAAACCATGAACAGCAATTACCTTTTCGAAATGAAATGGAGACAAGCACAAATGAAATCTTAATGTACACGCACTCCGCGCACACACACGTCGTGGTATGCAACGACTCTCAACCAAATGAATGGTGGTGTCCATACACATGCTGAAAATGGCGAACGCGCACAAAACACAACAACAACGAAATATGTACAAGAACGCATAGAATTTTTATAACGAACCAAATATTTTTACGGCCACTGTTGCTCGCATTCACACTCTCTTGCGGATGCCTGTAATTTTTCGACAAGTCGTCGAAAAAAAAAATCGCACACGAACCAAACAGTTCAAAAAACAAACACCGACGTGCTTTTCACTTTTATGAAAGTGAATAATTAATGCCGTAGCCGTAGATAATGGTTTTATGCCATTCCATGCGAGCCAAAACATTGTAAAGCGTTAAAAGCGAATGGTTGAGCAGTAAGCACACTTTGGCACACCAGATACAGTAGCGCGTAGAATGTGCGAGAATGAGACCGAAGACCGGAGACCGGATCGCACAACAGCGTCTGGATTTCTTGCTTTAATCGTATAATACGATGGTAATATCGCAGTGTAATGGCCATCAAGTGAACGCGAGCATATTGAGTGAGCAGTCCTTAAAATTGTGTGAGTGCTTTTTTAAGGGTAGCGACGCGTTTGAATCCAGTAAAATATGTATAAATTTGTCCGAGTGGTTCGGTAATTTGATTCGGGCTTGTGCAACACAACCGCACACACAATATCTGACCTTTTCAAGCGGACAAGCCATTCATTCCGCATCAATATCGCGTCGAACCCGAATTTCCACAGTTGAGAAACAATAAATTGCCAAATTCGCAATTGTAGACATAGATTAAGCATTCGCAATGGTGTTCAAGTTGATGCTGGCTGAGTTCGATCTCATCGACCGACCAGCAAAAAAAAGGTCATTCCATGATACGACAGAAAGATCAAAGAAACTCTCAAGTGGTCGATAAATTTTTCTTTGTTTCGCATTTTGATTGGACAATGCATTTAAAATCGATGTACCAAACGGAATAGAAACCAACTCAATTAAATCCAACTGCATGCGAACCATCAAAGAAGAAGTTTCATTGTAGTCAGTTCTGTGACTCAATCTAAAATTAACCGAGAATCACGTTGTTGGAAAAGTCGAGCCACGAAATGCATATCACTGGCAGAGAAATAATTTGAGAACGACCGAATGAAAAGAAAAATGCACGAGCATTCGGAAGCGATAATGGCCTGAGGACAAAATGTATGACGATAGCCATTGTTACCAGATGAAATCAATATTGGTGTCAAGAACACCAAAGAACTTACAAGAAAAAAGAAATGTTTATTTTTTTATCGCATTTCCCTTTCAGCATAAAACGAAACAACAAAGGCACCAAAGGAAAAAAAAATGCATGTAATGCGAGCGATGAGCATATCACAAAACATCGTCTTCGGCGACCCATTATAATTTCATTTATCAATGCAATCGTTAGAAATTACAATTTCCTTTTTAGAAGAGATAG